AACGAATAGTGGTCTTTATAGATAGGTAACTGGTATACATATAGAAAACAGTGATATGTATACGAAAGTAATTGGATTTTATATCGGAAAGTTGCATTAACATACAGGTCAGAAATATTTATATGCAGGTTGGTGGTCTTTATAAACAGGACAGTGGTTTTACAGCTGCTGGTTTGAAAGACGTAGGTAGTTTACTAACAAAGAAACATGTCCTTATAAACAAAAGAATGATCAAGGTGGGTTGTCTTTATAGGCAGGTAAGTTCTTTAAACAGGTCAATTTAATTTCTATGCAGATGGGTGGTCCTGATATACTGACAAGATATTATTAAATGCAGGTCGGTAATATATGTATAAACATTTAAGCTATGAGTTCTTTATATACATACAGTTGGTATTGAAATACAGGTCAGTGATATTTTTATGATTATGGGTGTTCCGTAAGTAGAGTAAAGTAGTCTGAAAGATTGGTTTGTTTTGGTTTAATTTTGTTTAACGTCCTATCAACAGCTAGATAAATCATTAAAGGTCGTGCCTCCCTGTATGTGTGCTTGCGTGTGTGTATGCAGGAATGAGGGTATATTGTGTGTTTGCCTCCTTGTGATAGTGCGGATCTGATGCAGACTTTATAGTGCTATCTCACTGAAATACCATGCCGAAGGCACCCAGCACAGCATTCCGCCCGGTCACAGTATACTGACAACGGGTGAACCAGTTGTTGCCATTCTCCTAGCTAAATGCAGAACGTTAAGCAGAGAATAACAACTACCATTTTGAAGGACGTTGGTATGGCCCGACCTGGTAGGTAGTTAGAAGTAGAAAGGAAGATAGATATCCCAAACATTGCAATGGATGCAGCAGATTTATTTTGGTAGCTCTTTTGTTTCCAAATAAAGGACACAAAAGCAAATCCCAAATTCTGCAGAGGGTTTCAATACAGGAAAGATGTGCTTTATATAAAGGTCAATTATATTTGAATGCAGGTTGGTTTCCTTTCAGGACAGGAAAGTATCTTTTTTTATAAGTCTGTTATATTTTTGTGCTGGTAAGTCGTATTTATAGGAAAGTCAACTTCATATGTATTCATAAAAAAAATAAAAAATAAAAATAAAAAAAAAAATTGTGTATAATGATACAGGCTTACATTGGGTTGTGACATTAATACGGCTATTTCATCTCTGTCAATGTTTTATCTATTGACTTGAATGCCTTATTTGTTGAAAATACTATGCTTAAATCATCAAATCAACATTTTACGTATCACGTTTGCATTTCTCAAACACCTCCAAGCGAGTTTTATACGTAAGAATTTAACGCCTTTGGAATTCTTGCTGGGAGTTATATTGATTGATTGAGATTGAATAATCACATGCTAATTGGTAGAAAATTAGCATACATGAATATTAAACGACTAGTTATTAAGCGTAACGATATTACTTAATGGTACGTGTACCTATGCAAAACACATATTTTAGGACAACGATCAATCAGAGAGAAAAAAACTAATGAATATATATTTATATAAGACACGTAAGCACTTGGCTTAGTCTATGCGTGTTACTTCAATGCTATACAGATCCTATATTCTTCCATTACTAGAATACTGTTGCGAGGTATGGGATGGGTGTACTCTCGGTGACGCAGACAAACTAGAAACACTTCAACTTGAGTCTGCACGGATAATCACGGGTTTACCCTCTTATTCTAGCAGAACATCTTTATACTCTGAAAGTGGATTCGAACCCTTATCTCAGAGAAGATCTAGGAGAAAACTTCAACTATTCTACAAAATTCACAATAATATCACGCCAACCTATCTTATTTCTCTACTGTCTCCTCTTGTCTCAGAAAATTCACAATACAACCTCCGTAATGCCGATAATTATTCTCTTCCTAATTTCCGACTTCAACTTTCAAACTCATCCTTTTTCCCTTCTACAATCCGACTTTGGAACCAATTAGACCTAGACATAAGACACAGAGTTTCACATGCAGCGTTTAAGAATTCTCTCCTAAATCTTCAAAATTTATATGTTCCAAAATATTATCTGATTGGTGATAGAAAACTTAACATTTTACAT